TTTCAGAAGTCACAAGAACTTCTGCCCTTAAATGTGCACGTTATGATTTGTGATGAATGCAGTAGCAATTTCACAGCCAGTTAGTGGAAGAATAAGCTCTTTGCTGTCTTTTGCTAGTTAAGCGCATGCTGTGGTTTTATTTGGTCTTATCGTATTTGTTGAGACGTTGTATATCACTTTCACTAGGCAACAGTGGCAAGCAGTTACACAAACATAAAAGCAGGGAGGTCCGATTGCCCCGCTAATTGGTGCTGGCAAACGATTACAGAGCAGGGCCCATAACGGAAACGCCCCCTTAAGTCACCCGTCATTACATCACAGCACTCTCGGGCGAACACAGGCCTTTCCAGATGGCCACGCGGGAGAGGAAAGATTTTAAAAAATGAGAAGAAGCAAACCTGGTTTAAATAGAGCGTTTCGGTTGTGAGAGGATAACGGTGATCTCTGAACCTATAATGCAGTACTATTAACATGAAATAATTTAACTCAAAATGGTTTTAACTTTTTCATTCTTTTCTAGAAAAAGGGTTCCTTACGGAATCAATATTTTTTTTTTATAAATCAACAACATAAGAAACCAATTTCGTATTTCACAGTTTAATCAGAGATGATTTTTAGATATTGGTTTTGAATGAATTAACTCAATTAGGGTAACAGTACTTAAGTTGAACAGGCAAATTTATACTAAATGCAACAAATACACCATAAGTTACATCTAAAAAAACATCAAACATGTTACAGGGTTTTGAATCATGAATCATTTTTTACTTCATTGATTTTCAGTGCATGAACCATCTGAATGAACTGATTCACTAAAATGATAGAAAAGCTGGACCGCTTCCCTCTGAGCGAGGAGCGTAGTAACGGTACCAGCCGGATTCCTTATGGAATAACCTGGGCCCATTCCAGCTCTCTAAACAGGAGAAATGGCCAGAGATATTCTGGCTATTATGTATTATTATCCATTACATATTGTTATCATTGGCACAGTGTACTAGCGATATTTATTCATAAAAGAAATGGAGACCTGGCCATTACTGATTGGATAATTATACAATTTTACAGTCCCTTGGAGTCAAATCATTTATTTGCATTGAGTATTTGAGATGTCCCAAGATTCACAACTCCTTAAAAGGCCCAATTAGCATGAACAAATGTAAAACTGTGTGTGTGTGTGTGTGTGAAATTATTCTATATAATGCAATTATATTAATATTAAAAAATGAACTAATTCACTAATATGAATCTGACTTTTCAGTGCTGCCTATGCAAGAAAGAGGATTGTTTAACTGATTCACTAGAATGAATCAGACAGTCCAGCACAAACTGTGAGAGGAAAATTTGTTCAGGTGAATCGATTGACTATAATGATTCAAACTTTCCAGCACTACATATGAGAGAAAAGGAGAGAGGACTGTTGAGGCGAACCTTTTATTATTCTCGCCTCAAGACATTAAAAAAACAAAAGCAATGTAGTGTTTGACCACCACTCATTGGAAAAAAACTAGCTTGTTACTGGAAAAACAAAGCCCAAAAGCTACTCAAATAGCTGGTAGCGACTCAAATTATGTTTTTATACTGTTCTGTTGACTATTATTCCTGACAGAATGACAAAAGCAAGAGACTGAAGCACAGCACATACTGTACGTCCACTCCTTTCCACTTAAATATTTATTCTCAACTCACACATGACAATTTATCATATCAATGACCATATTAGTCACTTCACTTAGATTACAAGTGAGTCTTCTTTTCCTATGAGCTTACATTTATATAAGGCCATCAGAAGTATTGCAGATAGATAACTATGATTTATTATTGTACAGTCACTCTCCTGGAAGCTTTGTTACTTTCCATCATATGGGGAAAAAAACATGCTGTGGAAATGACCAGTAGTTCAAGCTCTAAAAGCAGTCTGTATACTGTTATGTATATGTATATGATTAGATATATGTGTGTGTGTGTGTGTGCACATATTCTGGACACCTGTTAAAAGTATGTGCAAGCACTGATAGTCCGTCTTTTTTTACAGATTTATCCGCCCTCTTTGGTCCACATGCACCATTTGGAAGCACTCAGTGGTGACGTTAATGGCAGGATTCAGTTAATTTAACCATGTTTATACCATCTCAGTTTAGCCTGATAATTCGCCCCATTTCTACACCTTTTGCTTCAGATTTTCAGTTCTCTGAGGATTACCAGTCACTCACCCAAAAACCCTGCAAGGCTTCTGTAGTGAGAGGAGCTGGTCTCTGTTGTAAATAATGGAACCATGCTTGGCTGGATGTCTTTCACATGCAAAAAGTAGCTTGCTGTGCTTTCCACAATGAGCTGGATGAATACCAAATTTACAAGCCTTTTTTCCATTCCCAACTAATTTAGGCAACCAATAATAAATCATCATCACAAAGTCTGATTAACTGACATTTGTAATGATATTGTGATACTATCAGAAGAGAGCAGAGTAAAAGCAAAAGCATTTAATGTGCATGGAATGTTTTGACAAACATTACACAAATACGGAGCTGCTGAGTGAGAGGACAGAATTGCGGCACAAATAAAATCATAATGAATTAGGATAATATAATGGAAAAACATGCTCATTCTTTTCAGAGGACTGGGGAAAGAAGGAGAAAGTGGCCTAGAGCTGATGCAAAGAGAGCAATTAATTTCAATTCTACTGTGTTGCAATATTTGTTTTGTGTTTTTACACTGAAAAAGATAACTGTACTTGTATACTTTATCACTTAAACTTATAGGCCTTAACTCAAAACTGATTTGACTAAGTATGAACACAATGGGCCCTATTTTAACGATCTAAGCGCATGGTCTAAAGCGCATGGCGCAGGTGCACTCAGGGCGTGTCCGAATCCACTTTTGCTAGTTTAACGACGGGAAAACGGTCGGCGCGCCCAGGCACATGGTCTAAATGGGTTGTCCCTGTTCTCTTAATGAGTAATGGGTGTTTTTTTAGCATAACGTGCAGTAAACCAATCAGAGTGTCATCTCCCATTCCCTTTAAAAGCCAGTTGCGCTTGCGCCATGGTGGATTCACTATTTACATGGCGGAATGTAATTTTTCATTTTTAAAAATATTTGTGTGCTGCTGCGCGTCCCTGTGTGTGTAATAAGCAAAGTGTAAGCGTGTTGTGCACCTGCCTATAGGCGCATATTACTAACGCGCTCTAGTAATGGGTGTTTTTTGGGCGTAACGTGCAATAAACCAATCAGAGTGTCATCTCCCATTCCCTTTAAGAGGCAGTTGCGCTCATGCCATGGCGGATTTGGTATTTACATGGCGGAATTTGCAAGCGCAAAGACAGAACGCTCTCCAGAGATGAAACGGAGCTGCTCGTGCGCACTATTTAAACAACATGGCGCAGGACGTGAAAATGAGAACTGCATCGGGCTGAAACTAGCAAAAACACTTGCGCCGCATTGCGCCGGGTGTATGATATGATAGGGCCCATTGTTGCTTCTAAAAAGTGAAAATTGTGTCGCTATCAGAAGTATCATGGAAGATAGTGTGTAAAAGAGGGAGAGATAGTCAAGGCCTGGTGTGTTATCATCACTGTGCTGAGTGGTTGAAATGTTCTAGGTGTCTGCGGAATAAAACATGACAGCTGCTTAACACTTCTTTCCTGTGTATGTGTGAGTGACAGTCCATGTCTCTATTTAGTCACTAACATCTAGACTCCTCAGTGGGTGTGAATGTGGCAGCAGTATCTGTGTAGAAGTAGGAATACTGTTTCTCTTTTTTGGTTTGTTCTCTTTTATGGTTATTACAGGTTGTTATGGTTATTTTATAGTTGTATATCAGGGATGGAGTTGCCATAGATAGATAGAATGATCGATTTAACAAACATCAGAATGAAAAATATGATGGATGGATAAATGGATAGACAGATGGATGGATGGAACTATAGATAGATAAACTATGGAAGATAGATAGATAGATAGATAGATAGATAGATAGATAGATGATTGGACCAGGAGAGGTCAGAGGTCAAGGCCATGCGCAGGTGTGTGTGAGAGCACAGGATCTGGAGCGAGTCGTTTTATGAAGCTGTTGTCTCTTAATGAAATGCTGTAAATGGATGGAAGCCCAGAGATCCAGTGATGCCATTAAAATAATAAAGCTCTCTCAGGATACTAGTCAAACGTCTCGATGATTCTGGCCTCTCCTCTCTCCCACTGTGTTAAGGGTCTTCTATGATCACCAGGGGACAGAAAACACCACCTAAATCAGTTCACATCACATCAGATGTAGATTGTACATTGCCAGGAGTGACCTGCCCCAAAGAATACTGCGGCAATAAAGCAATTGTATGGTTGTTCACTAAAATATATGATACTCTGTGAGGGTGAATATGTGCGTCATGGGTATTTTACAGATAAGCATCTGTAAAAATGTGTGAATGTGATCTCTTAGTCGTTTGCCCTTTACTAGGACAATTTCCTGTCAATTAAAGGAATAGTTCACCCAAAAATGCAAATCTGCTGAAAATGTACTCACCCTCAGGCCATCAGGATATAGCTGATTCGTTTCTTCATCAGAACAGGTTTGGAGAAATGTATCATTGCATGACTTGCTCACCAATGGATCCTCTGCAGTGAATGGGTGCCGTCAGAATGAGAGTTCAAACAGCTGATAAAAACATCACAATAACCCACAAGTAATCCACACCACTCCAGTCCATCAGTTAACATCTTGCCAAACCCCCCCGCCCCCCTCCCCCAAAGCCAAAAACTGAATGTTTGTAAGAAACACATCCATCATTAAGGCAGTGCTTTGGCTTGTAAACAGTGCTCGCTCTGTACATATTTCTCTCCTTATTCAAACAAGATGACTTTTTCACTGAAGAAAGCAATATTATGGATAGAGGACTCATTTTTTTAGCTGGAAGCAATGGTTTTAAGTTAAAAACGTCCTATAGATGGATTTATTACAAACACGCAGCTTTCTAATTTTTTCTTCCCTATGTCCATCTCTCCCAAAGCCTGTCACTGTAACTTACATGCCCGCCGCTGCCGCTTCAACATGGAGCTATACAAGCTATCGGGCCGCAGGAGTGGAGGAGTCTGTCTCAACTGCAGACACAACACAGCTGGACGGCACTGCCACTACTGTAAAGAGGGCTACTACAGAGACATGACCAAGGCCATCTCACACAGACGCGCCTGCAAAGGTAAGCAACCATGTACACTGGAAAAATGTCAAGTACTTTACAACTACTGCAGATAAAAATACATGTTAGATCAACAATATTCCCCAAAATGTTGTCCCAACTAGCTTAAAATAACTTAAAAGAATATTCCAGTGCTGCAGATTGAGGGTTTTAGTGTTCAGCATGAATAAATTATGTGGTAACTATGGGACTGTTGCTGTGCTGTTTTCTGACTTTATTTACACTGTTGTTTTTATCATCACTACTACTTATTGGTTGTGTGGTGATGTTAAAAGCTTATCTGCATTTAACTGTAAATATTAGCTTTGCTTAAATTGTTTTGCAGGATGTTTTCTTCCTGACAGACAAAGTTTAATAAGAGTTTTTCTTATTAAGAATCCAGTCACACTTTATTTTAAGGTCCAATTCTCGCTAGTAACAAAACATTAACTACGACTTTTGCCTCAATAAACTCCTAATTTGCTGCTTAATAATAGTTAGTAAGGTAGTTGTTAAGTTGAGGTATTGGGTAGAATTGGGAATGTAGAATATGGTCCTGCAGAATACAGTGGTGTGATGTTTGATGATCTGAAACATTAAATTGTGACAAACATGCAAAAAATCAAGAAATCAGGAAGGGGGCCAACACTTTTTCACACCAATGTATGTGCTTTATAAGTACTAATAAACAGCCAATATGTTAATAATAGGCATGCTAATAAGCAAATTGTTAATAGTGAGATTTGGTCCCTACAGTGTTACCAAGAATCCATATGTAATAATTAACTTGAACAAGATATTTTATATTTACTGGACAAGCGAATTGGGTAAACCAACTGAGAACAATTATTAAGTCAGTAATTAAAAAAATAGTAAATTATGTAATTTATTACTATAAATCATTTTGTTCAAAAACTTTGTGAGCTAACTATGTAGGCAGCATTTTAAAGACCATAAGGCACACTCCTGATGTGAAGGCTGTTTCCAAAGGGAAAACATTCTAAGGCAGCACTGCATATTCATTGCAAACAGAGCAATCCCATATTGCTTAGTGAACATATTCGTCCAAGATGAATAAATGGAACCTTGGTTCCACTGCTGGATAAAAAATAAAAAGGTAATTGGTTTTTATCTCACAATTCTGGCTTTTTACCCCTTTCAATTCAGAGTTTATATCTCGCAATTGTGAGAAAAAAAGTCAGAATTGTGAGACATAAACTCAGAATTAAGACATATAAACTCGTAATTTTGTGAAAAAAATCCAAATTGTGAGATATATAAACTCAGAATTGCAATATAAACTCAGTGTTCTGAGAAGGAATGTCTGAATTATGAGATATAAACTTGCAACTGCAAGAAAAAATAGAATTATGAGATAAAAGGTTGCAATTACCATTTTATTTTTTATTCCGTGGCAGAAAAAAAAACTGAATTGTGATATAACCTTCAAAAAGTCCAAATGACAAGATGTAAAATCAGAAGAAAAAGTCAGAATTGCAAAGTGTAAACTTAAGTATGTCTGTGCTTAGAGTGAAATTAGACTAGGAAAACTATTGCTAATTCTATTGTTGCAAAATCTGTTTGAATCAATTGTGAATCAAATCTCCCATGCACTTCACTAGTAGAACGTTCCAAATCAGTCACTTATCCAACTTGCACCTTACTATGTTTTGTAACAGAGCCTGATTGTGGACATGAAGTGAGAAACATTTCTTAAAGATGAGCATACAGCTGAAAGAAGTGCATGTAAATGCATATAAAACTTTTCTTATAAAACATGAAACATTACGTTATGTCTTTTACAGCCATCTGAAATAATACATACTGAGACGGCTCTAAAGTTTTAAACGCATGGATTTTATCCACTGTTGGTTCACAGATGAATTTTACAATGTCATTCCCCCGTGTTCCCATAGTCCATTCACTCACAAAACATTCTGTGCTATTGCATATTTCCCACCTTCAAGCCAAGATAACTTGTATTCTCATCTGACTCTCGCAGACCCAGAGTTTTGACGGACTGAAAGCTTCAACAAACCGCAGCATAATTGATATGAGAGGCTGCTAACCCAATCACTGGGGCAGCTTTTTTTTTTTTGCGGACTGTCGTGTTCCAAAGCGCAGATGTGATGGATGGCAAACACTGCCCAAGTTTCATTGACATTGCTGTGTATTATCACATGAGGAATGCATCTGATTCAGGGGAGGGTTTCAACAGCTTTCCTCTGCCAGCCAAAACATTTACTCAGGCTATATATGGGATGCTCGGAGGCCAGATGCGAGGGATACAAGCATGCTAGTTTAAAAAAAAATAGCCTCTTGTAATTAACATACAGTAAATGGCCGGTAAAGTCAAAGCTTGTTCGGGAAATGCTGAGGAGTTCCAGTCACCTTTGTCAAGATGATTGCTTCACTCGTCTCAGGTGACAAACTCCTCAACATTGTGAAGTCATCTAGCGGACTGCCGTATTTATTGTTCATGTCAGCCAACCATCTCATTGTGCTTGTTTTGGACAGGAAATGCAACATTGTGCCAACAGTGTTCAGCGCTGTCGAAAATTCTACAGGGGGTCATTTGGAAAAGAAAGGAATATCGCTTGTAAATAAGGCGACAAAGCACCTACCAAGACAAATCGGACCCCAAACTAGATCCATTGTCAGTGGCAGTCTGGAACACCTCATGTTTTATATTGTAGATTAACAACTTCATCCCTCATTGAGTACAGTGTAAACACCATGTCACCCACAAGAACTATGTAATTTCTTTCTCTCACCTTTGCACTTAGAGGAATAGCTCGTCTAAAAATAAAAATTCTCTCATTATTTATTCACCCTCATATCATTGTTTGATTAATCCAAATAAAACGGAAATCGCTGTACGGCTTAGTGTGATTATCAAATGGCAAAGGCTGCAATTGAATTAAATAAATTTCTATCATGACAAATTTTTGAGGGTTTAGCATGGTAATGTACATGACAATGTTAATGTGTTTGGTCTTGTCAGAATAGATCTGCTACACTGCTGCTGCTGCAGCAGAGCTAGAACTGAGACATGCTGCTATGAGTAAGAAAAACTGCTGCTGCACATACAACATATATGAATTAACCCCATATAAAGCATACATGATCACCCCGTAGCAGATCTATAGAGGTGGAGCTGGGGAAGGTGGAGGGTTTTTGAAGCGCACTGCAACTGCTACAGCAACCACTAGCCAAGTATTTGAATGCTGAGCAGCAAGCTCATTGGCTGCTGATATAAAAAGAACCAATCAGCTGCGCCATGTGATAATGATGTCATTATGTCAGATTGAGTTTGACCTATTGGACTACTGCGCCATCTAGAGTTTCATGACAGAACCTTGGGTATATACACTGTATTTCAGAATGAAGTGCAGCACTGTTTTCTTATATATGCAAGCAGATCATGATCCAGGTTTTCAGTGTCTCGGATCGGCTCAGTTTGCAGTAAATGCTGCTCCACACAAACTCATATCTACATCTGCAGAGTTTGGAGAGAAAACACAACATGTGCGACCATCTTTCCAGAAGCACTTATAAAATAAAACTGTGAAGCTTTAAGAGCTCCCTGCAATTTTTCACCAAAACAAAAGCTCTATGGTTTAATGTTTGAAAATGAAGGAATGAAGACAACTTTTTAAATTTAATTATAATAATAATAATGATGATGATGATGCATATTTCCCCCCAAATCATGCATCCTGACTTACTTTATTTTGTGGAACACAGAAGAATTTGAAATGTAATTATTTTCCATGCAGTTGCAATAAAAAAGGTATTAAAAAAAAGATGCAAAAATCACCATAAATTCTAATAAATGTAAATGTATCATAAATGGCTTGTTTACTATTATGTTCTAAAGCCATTCAATAAATTTAAATAAATGCTTTATAAGTACTAATAAACAGCCAATATGTTAATAATAGGCATGCTAATAAGCAAATTGTTAATAGTGAGATTTGGTCCCTACAGTGTTACCAAGAATCCATATGTAATAATTAACTTGAACAAGATATTTTATATTTACTGGACAAGCGAATTGGGTAAACCAACTGAGAACAATTATTAAGTCAGTAATTTAAAAAATAGTAAATTATGTAATTTATTACTATAAATCATTTTGTTCAAAAACTTTGTGAGCTAACTATGTAGGCAGCATTTTAAAGACCATAAGGCACACTCCTGATGTGAAGGCTGTTTCCAAAGGGAAAACATTCTAAGGCAGCACTGCATATTCATTGCAAACAGAGCAATCCCATATTGCTTAGTGAACAGATTCGTCCAAGATGAATAAATGGAACCTTGGTTCCACTGCTGGATAAAAAATAAAAAGGTAATTGGTTTTTATCTCACAGTTCTGGCTTTTTCCCCCTTTCAATTCAGAGTTTATATCTCGCAATTGTGAGAAAAAAAGTCAGAATTGTGAGACATAAACTCAGAATTAAGACATATAAACTCGTAATTTTGTGAAAAAAATCCAAATTGTGAGATATATAAACTCAGAATTGCAATATAAACTCAGTGTTCTGAGAAGGAATGTCTGAATTATGAGATATAAACTTGCAACTGCAAGAAAAAATAGAATTATGAGATAAAAGGTTGCAATTACCATTTTATTTTTTATTCCGTGGCAGAAAAAAAAACTGAATTGTGATATAACCTTCAAAAAGTCCAAATGACAAGATGTAAAATCAGAAGAAAAAGTCAGAATTGCAAAGTGTAAACTTAAGTATGTCTGTGCTTAGAGTGAAATTAGACTAGGAAAACTATTGCTAATTCTATTGTTGCAAAATCTGTTTGAATCAATTGTGAATCAAATCTCCCATGCACTTCACTAGTAGAACGTTCCAAATCAGTCACTTATCCAACTTGCACCTTACTATGTTTTGTAACAGAGCCTGATTGTGGACATGAAGTGAGAAACATTTCTTAAAGATGAGCATACAGCTGAAAGAAGTGCATGTAAATGCATATAAAACTTTTCTTATAAAACATGAAACATT